TCTAACCACCACGCTCTTACTATGGCTCTAATAGCTCTGACCCCAGGGCAACTTTATTTATTAACATAAAATTAAAATAACATTTCAGTACAAATAAAATATCACCACATCCCCCAGTGGTCAGCTGGTTAGCATTAACATAGTCCGAGTGGAGTTTTCCCGTTGCTGTGCCCATTGTCTTCTTGGAGACTTTGGGAGCCACTGCTAGGATCTGAGAGTCTCTGTCTCATATAAGTTTAAATATCTTAAATGCCACATTCAGCAAATCTCTGAATTCAACAAATCTCAGTTTAAGGATTTGAGCCAAACAACCCTTGTTTGTTTTTAGTTATTTGTTTTAGGCTATACCTTGAAAACATAAAAGAGGTTAGATAAACTGTACTTGATTACATTAGTACTTACCATAACTTATAAGTATAGTCCTAAACATTTATCTCAAAGCTTAATCATCTTCAACCGTTTACACAAAGTTAGCCTTAAAAATAATAATTTCTGAGGTGAAGCTCTTTCTGATATCAAGATAAGACTTTTAACTCATAAACATAGTCTACAAAAAGACTGGGACCATTCCTGATCCTTACATAGTGTACCTTATAGAACATAAGAGTTTCTTGTATGATTCAGTTAACCAAAATAGCCATAGCTTAACAATGTTAGCAAAAAGAAGGTTAGACATAATATATCTTTAACCCAGTTTTTTTGTAAGCTTAAATAAACCTTAAGTAAGGAGAGACCATTCTTTAAGCCAATGGTTTTCAACTTTTTTGTGGTTGTACTGTTATGCAAATGTCTGATATGCAGGTGGCTCTGGGCTGTTCCTGTAAAAAGGTCTTTTGACACCAAAGGGTCATGGCCCACAGGTTGAGAAACTACTCCATATTCTCTGCCAGATGTTTACAGTCTTACTACATCATGAGACAGAAACATCCCAGGTTCTGGTGCTTAGCAGTTGTGGCCCTGGCTCCACCTGGCCAGTGACTGCACTGGGTGTCTGGGATTCCAGTGTAGTCTTGAGCCTTCCTCAGGATGAGCCTTTAAGCATAAAAACCATGTTTTGGGGTTGACATATTTCAGTTGACAGAAAAAGTTAATCAGAAGCAGAGCTAAAGTTAAAAAGTAAGGTTAGCACATTTAAACACTTGTCCAGAACCATAGACATCGGAGGACTAGATCTTTGTTTTAAGGCTATCTATGTAGCCTTCTGATTATTAACCCTGTGTTGAAGGTCTGAGTTAACCTTTTTGTTTCAAATATTATGGATTTTTAACCACACCCAGTAGACTTACAAGGCAATAATTCCTTAGCTGCTCTGCTCTTGTTCTTCCTGTCTGCCAATTTTTGACCCTGGACGTAGAGACTTTAAAAGTGAGTCTCAGTCTGAAAAAGGGTGGGCCATAATGAAATTCCAGAGCCAGCTGCTCAATAAAAAGAACAGCACAAAACAACTTCAATTTTATCTATACACAACTGACACTGGAATCCCTATTACATTAGTTCCAGTGGCCAGAACATCCAGAGTTAAATTCTGAGCCAGAGCAGCTGGCTGCAACCATCACAACATACAGAACACAGTAAATTCATGCATTGAAGACCAGTCACAGACATGCAGTGACCACATTCATGCATTCAAAAACAGACAGACAAAACTTTCCTTACTTCCTCCAGCTATAATTTCATGGGGGGGGTGGGGGGGGTGTGCAGACTCCAACTCCCATGATGTTGTAGCTGGAGTGGCTGCCTACTTTCCTACCAGAGACTGTGGGTCTTTAATCTGTCCACCAAGCCCAAATCACCAGCTCCAGCCTTGGCTTAAAAGAGTCAAGGTGTAGTTCTCTAAGAGCAGCACTTTATTTTTTTTTTTAAGTTTTTGAAGCACTGTAATACAAGATCTAGGGTTGTAAGAGAAAGTGAAGTAGTTCGCCCCATAATCTTAAAGTATAAAATGAGAGAGAAAGACTAATACAGAAAAGCAACATCAAAAAACAAAACTGACAGTTATAAGAACAGTGAGAAAGAGAAACTGGATGCAGACAATTGAGAGGAAAATGGAACACGAGACAACAATAAGACAAGTGGACAAAACACACAAGACAGACAAGACTTGGGCTGATAAAGACATTGTCCCTGGTTTCGTGACCTGGAACAGGGGTCCAAGCAGGGGAACCCCAAAATCTTGTCCTACCTGGGACACCAGTCCCTAGATGCAGCCCCAGCTGGAACAAATCCCAGCTCTGCAACCAGAGGGACCGGGTCTGAGCCAGGATCACCTGCGGCAAGACAGGCATCCCTTCTCTTCCCCGGACTCAAGGAATGCTGCTGTGTGTGACCTCCTGACTGATTCCAAACCCTGGCGCCAAAACCTTAGCAGCCTCTGGAGGACTCCAACCCTGCCTATGGGACGTCTCAATCCCATTCCTCAATGGGGCAGACAGCTCAGTGGGGGCCTCTAAATGTTAAACCTACCCTAGAGCCAATGTTAAACCTACCCCAGAGTCCTTTTCCTCCTGACAGCCCTGATCAGTCAGTGGCCTACTTATGTGGTGATTTAATAAAATCATGGAACCCATAAGTGTTGTCTCTCTCCTTTGTGATGAATAACAGGCTAGGTGTAACAAAATAAAATAAATCCAGTTTCATGAAAAAGCAATACCAGTGAACTAAGCACTCAGTTAACATATTAACAACAAGAGAATGAGTTTAAAGCATAGAAAAGAAATTAAGTAAAGAGCAAGAATTGCTGAGACAAAACAGAGAAAAACAATAGTTATAATTTAATAAATTAAAAGTCTGAACATAAATTAACCAAGCAGACAAGCAGTCACTGACCCAATGAAAAAAATGAGGCAGAGATGCAAAATAAGCATGGGGAATAAATACTGAGAGGAACACATTTTTAAGTTAATATGTAACTGATTTTCATATAGTAGAAATGAGAGTGTTCATCATCAATGGTCACTGAGGAAACAGGATGCTCTTGAGGAACAATGAAAAAACCTACGCCTGCCAGGTGGCAGTGGCACACACCTTTAATCCCTGCACTCAGGAGGCAGAGCCAGGTGGATCTCTGTGAGTTTTGAAGCCAGCCTGGTCTACAGAGCAAGATCCAGGGCAGGTACCAAAAGTACACAGAGAAACTTTGTCTTGAAAAACAAAACAAAAGAAAAGAAAAAGAAAAAAAACTAGGCCCAGGGCATCGTGGCAAAACTGTACCCACACTCCAGAATACTTAGGAAGATACCTAAACCTTCCCAGAAGCCAGAAAGTGGAGAGAAATGTCAAGTTCTTTCCTTCCTTCCTGCTTTCTTCCCTCTCTTCCTCTTTTCCTCCCTCCCTCCCTCCCTCCCTCCCTCCCTCCCTTTTTTTTTGAGAGGGAGTTTTATTTTGAGACAGGGTCTCACATACCCCAGGCTGGCCTCTGAGTTGCTAAGTAGTTGAATATGACATTGAATTTATCATCCTCCTAATTTTGCTTCTGTCTTCCAGTCAGGATGTAGCACTCCCAGCTCCAGCACCATGTCTGCCTGCCGGCCGCCCTGCTCCCCATCATGATGATAATGGACTAAACCTCTGAAACTGTAAACAAGCAATCCCAATTAAATGTTTTCCTTTATAAGAGTTGCTGTGGTTATGATGTCTCTTTACAGCAACAGAAAAACCTAACTAAGAGAGCAATATTATAAGAACACAGGATAAAACACTGTAGCAGAAACTATAGTATACCATGATCAAGTGAGAAGATGTAGTACATGTGCACCGTTAGGAAATCTGCTAACAAAATGTACAGCAGAAACAAAGCTAAGCTGAAAAGTACATGATTGACTTCACAGATGCCAAACATCCCTCTGAGGAACACACCCGAGCTGTAATTTAAAAGCACACAGCATGCCAGATTTATCTGTTTTAAGACCATTAATACTATTGGAAGTAAAATGGGAAGCTGGTGGGGAATGTTTCAGCCTGACAATAGCACACGCTGGTTATATTTGTAAAGACACCAGCCCTATATGTCTGCACACAGAATGCATGGGAGACCAGACCAGACTCAGGGAGGCCACGATTACACACTTCAGTACTTTCCTTAAGTATTGACTAATGTACGAGGAATTTCACTTTCAAGAGAAAGAAAAAACAAACAAACAAACAAACAAAAAAAAAAAAACAACTAACAAAATCCCCCAGGTCTCTCAGGAAACTGCCCCAGAAAAGCTCATAACCTGTCTTTAAGCTGTAGGTTGTATCCAGTTACCACAAAATCCTCAGAGAGTTACTTAGATACTGTAAACTGCTTTATACATGATTTCTTCCACATAGTGGTAATTACTGTGTGAGGTTTTGATCAGACAGTCCAAATCAAAGTATGAATCATGATTTTTCTGAAAACTGTCACACATGTTGACTTTTAAAAAGTGACTCTCCATTCATGTTTTTAATAGTGTTAAGATAGCTACAACTACATCTTATCAAGTTGCAATTTAATTACCCAGTACATGACAGGAAGTTAATCTAATGATGATTATCCGTTAAGCAAATATCAATGGTAATTAGAAGGTCAGGGATTCTCTTGGGCAGTGACAGGCAAGGAAAAGAAACCACTCCCTTATAATTATAGTAGCATAACTGCCATACAAGGGTAAGGGAGAATTTGCTGGTGGGTGTATGTATTTGGTCTTGCTTATGTTTCAGCCAGGAACCCTAAGTGTAGACCAGGATCTGGAGAGGTATGAAGGCGTGGATGAGAAACGTCTCTCACACCCTCATGCATTTGCACACTTGGATCTCCTCTGGTGGTGCTGTTTGGGAGGTTATGGGAGTTTAGGAGGTGGTACCTTGCTGGAGGAAGTGTGTCACTGGGCGTGAGTTTTGAGGCCTTGTAGTCTGGTCCCACTTCCTGCTTTCTCCCCGCTTCCTGTGTGAAGACAAAATGTGATCATTCAGCTTCCTGCTCCCGCAGACATGACCTGCCTTATAACGGACTCTGTCCCTCTTGAGCTGAAAGCTAAATAAACCCTTTCTCTTCTTACGTTGCTTTTGGCTGTGGTATTTAATTGTCGCAGCTAGACAGTAACTTGCACAATAGGTCAATGGATCTAGAAGAAAAAGAAAAAGTGTGATGACTGGGCAGGGTCAGGATGACAGGTCAATCTGCAAAACTTTGGCTCTTATTCACCTGCCTTTCAGTTACAAAAGCCCAGTTGTGTCAGAGGTATTTGGCTGCCTTTTTATCATTATCATATCGTGTGGGGTTATTATTCCGGTCATCTTTTTTTATTTACACTCACATGTGTTCCCCCCCCACACACACACTGCAAACAACTCTGGACATCAAAGAAACCTCCTCCCTCGGGTAGTTTTACTTTTCTTTACCCAGGAGGGACTGAGTCCTGATTTCTCATCCCACACACAAGTGAATTCTATTTGCTGAACGTTCATTCTTCTGACTCTCTATTTCAGTTCTTTCTAGAAGGTTCTATGATGAATTACACACTTCTTAATAGCGCATTCAAACTCCCTAAGTTTCTTTAATATCTGAAGCTCCTCCCTATAATATCTATGCCATGAAGTTATCTAGATTACATCACCTAAAAATGATAAGTGATTTAGAATCCATAAGATCAGATTTCCATTAAAAATATGAAAAATGAGACCCAGACATTCTCCAAGTCTCATTTTTTTTCATAAAATATTTTTAAGGAAATTATGGAGGAAATGGATAACGGTTTCAATTATAATTCTATGAAGATAAAGAAGTATTTCTGACATGTTTCTTACACTGATCTTTGATTAGAAATCAGAATATATTAAGTAATTCTTCAGTGACACAATAGAAATCAATGTAAGAAAGTTCAATTATTCAGCTTTCTGGTTATCTGACCTTATCTAGGAATAACTCTTTGAAGAAGGAGTATTAAAGAGGCAGGGTTTTTTTTGTTGTTGTTGTTGTTGCTGTTTGTTTGTTTGTTTGTTTTGTTTAAGAGGCAGTTTTGAAGCCAATGCAAGCCTTGGTAATCAGGAAAGTTGCTGAGGAAATGTCAAAGGGCTGAGGACCCAGCTGGATGGATTGTGTCTCAACTGCAACTCTGTCCCCCTTCTCCATTTACATATCCGATCTTTGCATAAGGATTATTTTCCAAGGGGATTATGCTAATAATGCTCTAAGTCAGAACACTGCCATTCTAAAGAAAGGGTCTAGCTATGGCCTGAACTCCAGGACCTGTAAAAGTCTCTTAAGCATCAGCGATGTTCTTTCTTTGTGCAGAGTGAAAAAGGCTGGCACGTGCACAGACTCACCTCTACAGCTTGATACTTGAGCCTTGTGCCCTTCTGCAGGGCTGATCCTACCCCATAACTGAACGTCTTGATGCGATGTGAATGTTTCCTTCTGTCTTGAATCATCCCTTGAATTCCATAGTCTTCACTCTGTTCCTGGTGACAACGTGAGACTTGACTATGCTCCTCACCTCCTCTGCTCTTCACCAAGCTCTTTGGATCTGCAGTTCTTTGGGTCACCTCTAAACTCCTTGACTGTTTCAGTTCAGCAGTGAAGTCCTCATAACCCAGACTCAGGACATAACCTTTCATCCAATGCAAGCCTCATCCTCAGGTATCGGTGAATGGCCCACAGACAAGAGTGTGTCCTGCAATATTGGTGTTCATGTTCAGTTCTCAATAAAAGCTGCTGTGCACATAATTCTTCCCTTTCATTTTCTTTTCTTTTCTAGCTTCTGTAGCAAGATGATTTATGACACTTGTGCTGGAGAAAAGAACATGGAAATGTGGCGTCGGTAATTAGGGTCCCACTCTGACTCACTATGGGAGCTTGAACAGATATAACATGCATCCCAGGGACACCATGATCAACCCTATGCATTTTTTCTTGAAGAATTACATGGCATACAAAGAAAAAATTTTAGGAATCCAGTTTACCACATAGATCTTTGCTATGGTTATGTAGCCAATAACAGACTTAAATTTCAAATGATTTCCTTTTATATATAACTTTGCATTTTGTTTTCTTTCTCCCTCTGAAGTGCAGATGAAATGTCAAACTCTTTCTTCTTTTCTTTTTCATTTTTTTTCTGCATGTGCACATGAGTTCCTGGGAGGGAGGGTGTCATGTGTGTACAGATGTGAGTGAACGTGTGTTCATGCAGGGGGAGGTCAGAGTTTGACATCAGATGTCTTTCTCTATCAAACCCCACCTTATATGTTGAGACAGGGTGTCTCTGATCAACCCAGAGTTCCATGATTCAGCTATTCTAGCTAGCCAGATCCCTTGATCCAGATCCCGTCCTCTGTCTCAGCCTCCACGATAGGAATTGCAGAAGAGCTACCAGGCCCAGCTATCGTTTATACCAGTGTTAGGAGTGCAAACTGCAGTCCTTACATTTGTGCAGCAAGCACCTCACCCACTGGGCCCTCTCCCCAGCCTGCGTCTCCTACTTTTGGCGTGTATAGTATACACTCTCTCTATAACCCTGTTTGCCCATCTTACTGTGAACCCACATGGAAGGCTCATCAAGCCAAAGCAATTAACACTTTTACTGATGGCGAAATGGAGACTCAAGGAAGCTAAATCGTTGAAGAGGCTAAGGAGCACCACTTAACATACAAACAAAAGTGCTTTCACATCAACATAAAAACAGAGTCACCATAAGGAAGCAGGCACATTCAAAGGAGTTGTGACCTTCTACAAAAAGTGTGACTTGGAACATTGAGGAGGAACAACTTGATAAATTCAGAACAGCTCCCTGGCTTTCTGGCTCTTACAGTCTTTCTGTGATGTTCCCTGAGCTACAGAGGCTTAAGCTAACACATAGATGTATCTGTTGGGCCTGGGCTCCCCACACTCTGTTGATCTCTGCATTTGTGTCCAGTTGTAATTTTAAGTAATAGTCTCCATTTGCTGTAAGGAGAAGCTTTTTGAGGAGGAGTGGTAGCTACATTTATCTGTGGATATAAGGACAAATTTAGAATGTAGTAAGGAATTGTACTGCTCTAGCAAAGTGTCGAAGGCAGATTCTTTTCTAAGGTCCATGACCTCACTAGTCCCAGAAAGCTGGCCAGATTTCCATTACCGGGAATGCGAATGTGGAAAGTATACATCTGTGTGGGTCACCCCTAGACAAAGAACTACAGGCAACTAATGACTGCTGGGGGAAGAAGAATTAGCCTCTCCCAGAGATGAGCCTCTTTATTGGTTGGTGAGCCAATGTAAAGTGGTCAGCTATGAAGCCATTTACACGACACCAACAAAGATGGACTCGGCAGGTTGTGCATATGTATTTGTCATATTTTATAGGTGTGATTGTAAGAATGATAATCAAAGAAAAAGAAGGTGTTAACCTGAGAGTGGAGGGGCATGGAAGGGGTAGCTGGGAGGGCTGAGAGGAGGAAAGGGGGGAGGAAGTGATGAAATCCTATCCCAATAAAAACCTGAAAACTAAACAAACAAGAAATAGAACAAGAAAAATGTATTTTAAACAAGCATAAAAATAATATTTTGAATTATTTAACTACCTAACATACCTCTCTATTTTGTTTTATTAGACTTCATGCTCACTGATAGCTTTCAATATATCACAATGTTTTATTTTTTATTTTGTAATGGTTGCATATGTATGATATATAAAAGAGGGGTGCATATGTGCCAGAGTGTGCAGGGGAGGGTGGGTGTCTGAGAACAAATCTGATAAAGTGGTTCTCTCCATCTAATTTTATGGATTCCAGGGATGCAACTACAGTTTTGAAGCTTGCGTGGCAAGCACATTTCTAGCACCGACTCAGTCATCTCCCTGGCCGGAATCTTTGTTTTCTACAGAGATGATACAAAAACTGTTCAAAGTTTCCTCAGACATGTTTGATGGAAAAGTCAATTATCTACGAATGCTTTTCTCCCTTTCATGACTGTTCGTTACATAAATGATGGGAAATGATGTCAAGCTTAGGAACCTGTCGGGTTTCTGTTAAGTTTATAGCAACGATGGCCAGACTGACTGAGGAAGGCATAGATATGTGAGCTGAGCCCTGGGTGAGGGGAAGCCCACATCTACTGTAAGGAAAAAGTGAAGTGAGTCGTTTCTTCCTCATACCTTCACTTCACCCCGTGTTAAAGAATGGGGTGCAAAGTGTGGCCACGAGAGTGTCAGGGTCGGGAGAACCTTCACACTTCAACACATCTTATTCCAGACGGTTTATGAAAATATGCAACCCGTGTGAGGATGCCAGGCAGATGTCTGGAAGCAACACAGGAGCCTTTCCAGTTAGCCTTTGCTAACATACATTCAGCCTTCACGAGTGAGCTTGCTGTTAAACTCTGTTAGCCTCTCAATGAATTCAGTGCTTGGGAGAAGAATGGAAGCCACAGTAAATATGGAGTAGCCATAGACCTCTGACCGTTGGTCCCTGAGCAGAGCTCACCCCCATCTGAACTGAGTGTTGCTCCTCAACGTTGTTCTGCCTTACTGTATGTGTTTCATAACAATGAAAAATTCCGAGTTTAAATGGTAGCTGCGTGAGAAGAGACCTCAACACACCATTTATCAAATCCATATGCCCGATTTCACACCAAGAAACAATGCAAAAGCCTCAGTTCAAGACCTATAACCCACTGTCTCATGATTATCTCTTGAGCCTATGAAACTGTCTGTATTTTTTTCCGGTTTAGCCATATCTAGATTCTATTACACATTGATTTTTTTTCATTGAGGAAAATCTATTACATAATTTTTGGTGATCACTGCTTTCACAAACCTAATTTAAATCTGTTTTATTTGACTCTGTGTCTCCCACAATGCAATATAACATGAAATAGATTGAGTTTCCTCCTCTTATTTTACACTGTGCCAGCTCAAAGAATGAAATGGGGCTACAGATATACTCAAATGTCTGTGTAATGGGCAGAACGCAAATGCATCCATACAGCCTATTATCTCCTCTTTGAATACAATACGGTATCAGTCTCCCAGTCAGCTCTGTTATATGGTAGAGGTAAAGCAATTCGGACATGCATTTCAGTCCCCCGATTCCACTAATTTTAAATCATTTAAGATGGATTACTTTGGATATACCTGGCATCAGGTGGCTTATAGGTCAGAGATGGCAGAAGAACCAATGGCTCTTCTGCTATCCTTGAAGAACTAGAGAGACCTAAGTCATAGGGGGCATAATGCCAGGCATCTCCAAAAGCCAAAGACATCAACCAAAGGGAACTATATCCTGCTTGCAAAAAGCAATTCTGAAAGCCTGGTGATACGGCTTGATCATCCTGCAGAGTCTTTTCATGATGTGTGTTCATCATCCCAACTGTGAGATAATGCTTTGCCATAATTTGCTATATAACAGAAAATGGTGGATACAGTCAGTATTTACCTGAAAGACAATAAACTAAACCAATATGCTAAAAAATTAAAGCCACAATCTGTGCAGCGTCTTTCAGGAGCCCAGCTTCTTCCTACCTGGGAAACGGAAGTGTAAAATTATGCTTCTTTGGTTAGACTCTGGCTTTTGTGGACTAGTAAATGTTTCTGGAAACATTTCAGTTCAGTTTATGGCATCAGTATTTATTTTACTAGAAGCAACCATAAATATTATGACTACGCTACTATAAATAAAGTCATAATGCATGTTATAATGGTTTTAAATATCCATTTGTCTAAGCTACAACTACGTATTTATTTACTCAAGTTCAGTATATTATAAAAATACTGTATAAATGTGATTACAATCCAGTTGAGCTCGAGTAAAAGCTATGACCAATGATTCCTCATGGGTCTCTGAGGCAATTAGAGAAAAATAAAATAGTGATAATTTAAACTTAGGCTGAATTGCTGTTATTGATTGATAGCTGAATTGACATGGAGCTGAAGTTAGCCTTGTGTACTAGTTACTTTGGTATTCCTGGGACAAAATACATTACAAAAACAAGGTAAGGAAAGAAGGGCTTATTTGGGCTCACAATTCAAGGGTACATCTTGTTAGTAGGAGTCTGAAGTGGTGGGTCACACTGCACTCATGGTCAGAAAGCAAGGAGATGATTGTTCCTGTTGAGTTTCCTTCTCCATTTTTGTCTGAGGCATCTCCCCCTGGAACAGTGGCAGACATCACCACCACATTTAGAATGACTGTCCCCTTCTCAGTTAACTCAGATTATCATAGAATGAGTCTTTTCATCTCAATGACCTCACAGAAGGACCAGGAGGTCTGTCTCCATGGTGATTCTAAACCCTACCAAGCTTATCAATATTGATCCACCATACCTTTGAATTCAGTAGACTTTATAAAGTCACATCAGGTGGGAAAAATTTAATAAAGTATCCTTTACTTTCTTTAGCTATTAAAATGTTAAGCAGGTAGGAATAGTAATTTATCACTCAAGGTTCTATATTCCAGAGCAGAAAAAAAGGAAGGATAAACAGAAAAAGAGAAGCCCAATTAATTGTCCAGTTGATCTTCTGAAAGAATCTCACTGAGATAAGTAAGGTTGCATCAAGCGTCAGGCATGCCTCTGGTGAGTCACATGAAACGGGACACCCAGATCAAGCCCAGACACCAGGACTCACAGAAGAATCAGTTCCTAAAGCAGAGCTTTGCAGAACTGCCCTTGGAAGTGCAGTAAGCAACACCCCTCTCCAATTTCAGGAAGTGTCTGTCCTGATGATTCACTTTGGCAGATTCGTATCTCTCTCTCTCTCTCTCTCTCTCTCTCTCTCTCTCTCTCTCTCTCTCTCTCTCTCTCTC